GGAAAGCTTATTTATTCAGCTTTCAGATGATACATAAATCTCAATTTCAAAAAATTGACCCTTATGACTGGTTTTGTGGTCCAGGGTCACATATTTTATATATATATATTTAAAAATATGGTCACAAAAAAAAAACAACCAAGTATAAACCTCATGTACATTTAAAAACTTCAGAAATACTTTTGTCCCCCCCCCACTATAAATATCTTATTTTCTAAAAAGTCACCAAAAATTCTACATTAAAGAATTTAAATTGTTAACTGTATTTTAATATGCATAATATAGTTTTTTAACAAAATGCTGCATTAAAAAATTCATTGGATAGTGGATACTATAAGTAAAAAAAATATATATTTTTTTTAAAACACAATGCACGTAATTCTACAGTAAAATATTGTATATATATTTAAAAATATGGTCACCAAAAAACCCCAACTCTTAAGTATAAACCTCATGCACAGTAAATACAGTAGATGTGTTCTTGTCTCCGCTCAGACACGTCTGCGTGTGATATCGTGCAGCTGTCGGCCGTCAGCGGGGACCGGGTGTTTAACGTGTATCTGCTGCCGCGCTGCTCGATGACTGACGGGGCGTCTCGAGTCACGAGTCTGACTGTAGACGGCCCCCATCTGCTCTTCAGACACCGCCCCGTGCCCACCGTCCCTCACAGACGGGCTCTGAGCGACTTCATCTGCTTCCTCAAGACCTTCCGCAGGCCCTTTCTGGTGGGACACAACAGCAGGCGCTTCGACTGGCCCGTCCTGACCCGCGTGCTGGCCCAGTTTGACCTGCTGGAGGAGTTTGAGGGCGTGGTGTCCGGATGCGTCGACACGCTGCCGCTGAGCCGGGAGATGTTCCAGCTGCCCAGATACTCGCAGCAGTTCCTGGTCCAGCGCTTCCTGCAGGAGTCGTACGGCGCTCACGACGCCTCCGAAGACGTCCGGATGCTGCAGGAGCTCTACAGAGTCTGGAGACCCAGCCAGGAGCTCGTGAAGAAGCACACGATCGCCCCGTGACGCCGGCACAGCTGCAGCTCCAGGGAAACTAATACTGCTCCTGTGTGTGTGTAAAGGAATTATCAAATTGCACTGAACTGAAGGATTCAGAAACATTTTATATGTACGATCAAACCAAACATTATTCAGACACCTGATATTTTTTTACTAGTGAGTTTAGTTGAGCTAAATTGGTTTTATCTAATCGTGTGCTTAAATTTAACAGCTGACAGCTATTCAACCGAATTCATTCCATACCTTTCTATCAAAGTTATCTGACATTATCAAGATGAATTTGTTCTGACAGTTTAACTCTGCGTGCTTCTCATATTTTATTACCATTTTCTAAACTGTAGTGAATAAACTGTGATATGTTGAAAGTGTCTGGATAATTTTTGGATTGACTGTATGTATATATACTGTATAGTGCCTTACAATTAAAACATTTTGTTTTTTATGCACACGAATAATGCAGCCATCCATAACGGTTCATATCAATTTCATCTAATATTTCTTTTTACTGAGGATCTCAAAGTATTGAATATGCAGCGGTGCAATGTGTTTTCTAGTGCAATGTTTACATTACTTTCTGAGTTCACTGACAAAGCCGTCTGTAAATTATGGCACAATATTTAAAAAAAAAAGAAGCAGTTTAAGATTTTCTTAAGTGTCACATGTTTCGTTTTAATTTCTGTTTTAGTCTAAAATCAGGTTTTGGTTTTCAGAGCCAGTTTTGCTTCCCCTCAGGTGTCAAAATGAATATATATAACTCATTTCATTTCTACATGCTGACATTATGCATTCATTAACTGGAACCATTAAATAAGAACCATTTTATAACGTGTGATTGTCTTATTTGTATTTTAGTTATTTTGTGAATTACAGTTGCATTTGTTTTGGACTATGTTACTAAAACTGTATAAATGCATAATATAATTTTTTTTAATATGTATATTTTTTGTTAAATATTTATGCGTGTACTATGTTTTATCTTCTCAACAAAATGCTAAATTTACAAAAAAAAGATATCTAATTTGGTAACTAAAATTGCATATATTTTAAAATAATGCATGCAATTTAAGTTAAAAATGTTGTAAAACGTGTATTAATATATTAACAAAACCCTACATTAATAAACGCAATGTAATAAAATAAAACACACAAGCACTATATTTACATTTTTTGGTTAATGTTTTTATTTGCTATCATTTAATGTTTTAAGACAAAATTATGGATATTTTTCACATTTCAAAGCATATTGGTGGCAGCTACTCCTTTAGAAACGTGAAAAATCTTCTAAACTGTGATATGTTGAAAGTGTCTGGATAATTTTTGGATTGACTGTATGTATATATACTGTATAGTGCCTTACAATTAAAACATTTTGTTTTTTATGCACACGAATAATGCAGCCATCCATAACGGTTCATATCAATTTCATCTAATATTTCTTTTTACTGAGGATCTCAAAGTATTGAATATGCAGCGGTGCAATGTGTTTTCTAGTGCAATGTTTACATTACTTTCTGAGTTCACTGACAAAGCCGTCTGTAAATTATGGCACAATATTTAAAAAAAAAAGAAGCAGTTTAAGATTTTCTTAAGTGTCACATGTTTCGTTTTAATTTCTGTTTTAGTCTAAAATCAGGTTTTGGTTTTCAGAGCCAGTTTTGCTTCCCCTCAGGTGTCAAAATGAATATATATAACTCATTTCATTTCTACATGCTGACATTATGCATTCATTAACTGGAACCATTAAATAAGAACCATTTTATAACGTGTGATTGTCTTATTTGTATTTTAGTTATTTTGTGAATTACAGTTGCATTTGTTTTGGACTATGTTACTAAAACTGTATAAATGCATAATATAATTTTTTTTAATATGTATATTTTTTGTTAAATATTTATGCGTGTACTATGTTTTATCTTCTCAACAAAATGCTAAATTTACAAAAAAAAGATATCTAATTTGGTAACTAAAATTGCATATATTTTAAAATAATGCATGCAATTTAAGTTAAAAATGTTGTAAAACGTGTATTAATATATTAACAAAACTCTACATTAATAAACAATGCATGTAATAAAACACACAAGCACTATTTACATTTTTTGGTTAATGTTTTTATTTGCTATCATTTAATGTTTTAAGACAAAATTATGGATATTTTTCACATTTCAAAGCATATTGGTGGCAGCTACTCCTTTAGAAACGTGAAAAATATCACTTTTTCAAAATGATCACAAACGTTTTTTTATTAGGATTGTATTTTGCTCAAAGTCAATAAAGTTCATGTACATAATGAGGTGGATGGATAATTATCACAACACTTAATATACCCAAAATAATATTCAGCCGCTAGAGCGACAGGAAGGAAGTTTTAAAGTGGATTAATCCTGGAGAAACTGCTGACTCAGGCCTGTCGACACGATTAATAAACAATGCATGTAATAAAACACACAAGCACTATTTACATTTTTTGGTTAATGTTTTTATTTGCTATCATTTAATGTTTTAAGACAAAATTATGGATATTTTTCACATTTCAAAGCATATTGGTGGCAGCTACTCCTTTAGAAACGTGAAAAATATCACTTTTTCAAAATGATCACAAACGTTTTTTTATTAGGATTGTATTTTGCTCAAAGTCAATAAAGTTCATGTACATAATGAGGTGGATGGATAGTTATCACAACACTTAATATACCCAAAATAATATTCAGCCGCTAGAGCGACAGGAAGGAAGTTTTAAAGTGGATTAATCCTGGAGAAACTGCTGACTCAGGCCTGTCGACACGCTGGATTCTGATCAATATTCATGTTTATGCAGATCAGGAGTGGCCACATCTTCAATTCTCAACATGTTAAAGCAGAAACATTGTGAAAGTCTAACTGAGCAGCGTTTTCTTCGCGTCACTCGTCCATCTCCACGTCCTCTGCCAGCTTCTGGACCATCTTGTCCTCCAGCTGTTTGGCTTGACCTGAAGAGAGACGTCAGACGTGAGAACAGGGAATTCTGGGACGGGTTTGGGTGACGTTACGTCTGAGCAGCGAGGTTTACCTGCGTGTGGAGCTCTGATGAGGTGAATGTTCTTCTTGACTTCACTGATAGCTGCCGCCTTCTCCAGCTCTTTGCCACTCTTCAACCTGAGGAAATATGGAAAGGTTCATGTAAATGATGGGCACTGTAACTAAAAAAAAAAAATAAAACTAGAATTAGAATGGAATTAAAATGGAAACATAAAATACATAGATTCTAAATATTTTTTAAAAATCCTAATATATGTTTGTTTTATTTGATGTAGCGAAATAAAAACGACATAAAAAAAAAAAAATGACAAAAACGCACAGACACCTTAACTAATTAAAATTAAAACAGAAAAATAAAAACTAATTTAAAAACTACATAAAAATATTTTTCTTTCTTAAACTTTAATGAAATAAAATATACAAAAACACAAATCTATTTCAGCTAGTTACCAAGGCAACATTTCTCATTTTCATTCAGTTTAATGCACTAAAATAAACTACAAATAAAAATGAAAACAATAATAAAAATTATATGGACATTTAAAAAAAAAAAAAAAACGAATTAATGACAAAAGACAAAAATAAATACTAAAAATCTTAAGTTAAAATTCAAGTGGAAAATTTGACAAAAAATAAGAATAATTTTTTTTAAAACTCATATTTAGCATAAAACTTTTTTTTTTACAAACTTAATAAAATATTAAAAGTACTTATCTTAATTCAAAAAATTTATTTTTATTAAACTAGTTGCCAAGGCAACATCTCTCATTTACATGTAGGTGATGTACTAAAATATACTAAAAAAAATATATAATTAGCAGAAAGATGAGCTGCTAAACTCCATCAAACTCACCTGTTCAGGATAAAGCGCGCCTGCCGTTTGTTTTTGATGGATTCAACCTTCTTCATCGCCTCCACTGTTCAACACAAGCACAGCAGCCAGAGTCGTTTTTAATGAATTCATCACACATTAATGAGTGAGAGAGCGAGAGAGAGAGAGACTCACCGGTCTTACTCCAGAGCTCTCTGTTGTATTTGACAGGAATATTTCTGCGCTTCTCAAACTCCAGTGAGTTATCCTGACAAACACAAGCAGTATTTTATTTGATGAATGAACAGCTGAATCAGTGTGTGTGTGTGTGTGTGTGTGGCTCGCGTCTCTCACCAGCGTCAGCTCTTTGCCCGCTGACTTCCTGAACGCTTTGGTCCATCTGGTCTTTCTTGGGTTTCGCTTCTTCTTGAAGTTTTTGTGGCATTTAGACCGGCAGAACCTGAAAACCTTCAAAACACACACACACCTGTCAGGATTCACACTGATATATGCCCACACGAACTGAGAATATGACAAAACTACCATAATACTACTAACATGTTTTATTTTTTTGGACATATGATGATGATACCATATATATAACACATATTTCGCACCTAAGATGATTTTTACCATACTTCTTTAGGAATATAGCATGGTAATACCATTCTTTTAACATTTATTTAGATTTTATGTTGTTTATTTTTTTGGTTATTTGTTTGTTTGTTTTTTACATGTAACATGTTTTTATTAAATTATATATTTTATATACACACTTTGAGATATATATATTTGTGTGTGTGTATTTTTATTTCTAACCATTTTTTTTTTAAACAAATTGTCATTTTCTTTTTTTCCTCTATCATCAATTGGAATAAATAATTTAGTAATTTAAAAAAAATGACTGTACTTTGTAATGCACTTTGCTAGTATCATATAGCTTTTTAACATGTAACAGAAACACGGTAAAGTCACGTTATATGCGTCGTGGAATCCCCTCGTTTCTGTCGAGATTTACTATGCTAACGTTACTATTCTAAGTAAAAAGGACACACACGAATATGGGACTCATTCAAAAACAGCTCCATTTCACTCATTATTAATAAACAACACGCAATGCTAATGTTCAAAGCAGGGTTTTAAGCGGCAGACTCGGGTATAAACACGCAGACTGACATCATGCCGCCGGTCGAGTCTTTACCTTACAGTCGTTCCGCACAAACATCATTCCGTGTCCCGGATAAACCGGAGCCGAGCAGAAATAACACTTCTCGATGCGCATTTTGATCAATTATTATGGTTTCACTCGCACATGTGCCGCTGCGCTGCGAACACAGGCGGAAAAGAGAACACCCGTTTCCGCTTCCGCCGC